TTATTTATTTATCTAGTTATTATTGACGCGATCCTTAACGAGTAAATATTATATTCATTACTTTATAATTAAATTTGTGTATCATCAACTAAATTATTTTTTTTTATTTGAAGGTACTGCGACTTACATTAGCCTGATTATAAATATCTTAAAAGCTATTTGGCCATTCCTAATGTTTATGGTAAATTTTTATTATACTATTATGAGTATTATTTAAATGAAGCATACGATAATTGATTAATTTATTTATTTTAAAAAAATAATGTAGTTAATGACAACCGCTGCTTTCGGTCATGCAATGGTATGCATTATTTAGTTCTTTCCTTTTTTTATCATCAGAGCTTTGCTATAACAAATCTTTCATATTTTTTAATTAAATTCAAAATAATTGGTTTAGAGCCTAACGGCGACAGCTATGTGATAGATTCTCCATATCCGGACGGTACCATAGACTTTAAAATTTCACAAGATTTTGATATAGAAAAACCCATCGATAATTTTTATGTATCATTTACTCATTCTATTATGGGAGTTTATTTTTGGATTCTTGGAAGATGGGACCAATTAGAACTTTGGGATTTCTGGCCAATTCACGTATTAGGTATAGGTAAATACTTCATGTCTGATATATTTAACTTGTTAAATAATCGTAATGTTAAATTTAAAATTTTTATTTTATTTTTAGCCGCAAGTATATTATTGGTCATCATCATGCAGAATTTGTTGGTCGCATTTATGACGGGTGTGCATGACGAAGCAAAAAATAATGTAAAGGTAGCGGCGGTGCTAAGTTATAGAGCTGATTTGATCGCTGATTATGAACAATTAGAAAAACCACTTCGTAGTTCAAGAGAGAATCCGAGATACATTTATTATGTTGGAAGTGCTGAATATCAAGAGGAATGGTTAGATAAAGCTGAAAAATATAGGAAAACTCATAAATCATTACTTGTTGAAGATATTAATAGCCAAGTCTTAAAATGCACTAATGATTTGTATGATTCGGATGATGAAGATCTATATTCATTGATGGCTCCATCGGATTTGCTAATCACTAAATGAGGTTTGCTATTAAAATCGAGTTACGACGAACATAGTAAATCATAATAGCAAAGCTTCCAAATGCTAATTAATTAAATAAATAATCGAAAAATAAAATAAATGAAAAATATTAAAACAATGAAATTAACATCAAAATTATGAAATTTTTTAAAATTTCAAAAGCGATAATTTCGTTAGGAAAAAAAGGAAGGAATGAGATGTAAAGAAAGGTGTACTATGCTAAATTTGCTAAATTTCCAAGTTAAACCCAGCATATGGGAGGTTTGCTATTAAATCGAGTTACGAACATAGTAAATCATATGATCCGTAACGTGATTTTAATAATTATCCGAAAAGTTATGATTTTTCGGGTGGAATTATTTCCAACGTAACATAATATACCAAAATTGGATAGTATCAATCGCACCTTTTATGGTATAGATAACAAAATATTACCACAAGTAGAGGCCTGCATAAGTCCAAATTTAATTATAAAGTAATGAATATAATATTTACTCGTTAAGGATCGCGTCAATAATAACTAGATAAATAAATAA